GAAGGTTAACAGTTAGACAAAATCTCAAATTTACAAAGAAGAAGGAAATTAATTAGCGCAGAACCATATTAACTGAAAACACAAATTATAAAACAATACAAGGCATAATCCTTTCAGCTTTCAAAAAAAAAAGGTGGACTGACATTTTTGACAAATAATCCTGTGCTATCAGGAAGTCAGAATATTCTTGAGCTAATACTCAGGCTATTGTTATCTTCAGAATATTAAGTGTACCATCAAAACCAAGACTAAAATGGGGATTCTGAAGAGGACTTTTGCGTAATAGAATACTAATAGTAACTAAGTGCTTGAGGCTTAGACGAAGTTTTTTTTATCAGCAAGCAAGAAAATTATTCATCAACATCATAGCATCACAGAGGAGAGAGAATATGTTCAGTTACAAAAATATCCTCTTTTGTTTTCTACAGAAAATTTCCTCTTAATCCTGTAGAAAACTGAGGAAATCATATATTGTAATTTGTATGTATATCATATACATTTGAAGTTATACCAACAAAACTCTGTAACTCGGAGCCAGTGAGAGCAATATTAATCAAGTAACAAATATATTGTTTAGCAAAAATTGATTTTCTCTTAAAGTATCAATCGGTGTTAAGCTTAATTTTGCATCTTCAACCAAAGGGAGAGATAGTTTCAACTAGGTGTATGTTGATTTCAGCTCAAACAAGATGATAACCGAGCAGGCGAGCCTAGTATTCAGCTTTATCTCACTCCGGCTAATTAGTGCAACAAAATTAGCATCAGAAAGTTATGCCTACAACAAAGTTCTCACTGCTCATGGAAAAGGATATGAAGATAGAAATACTACCAAAATATAGTAACAGCAGTAACTAACCATCACCATTACATTACAAAAGAAAGAGCAACACAAATTGCAGTTGGTAAATTGAACTATTAACGTTAAATGTACATCTATACTGGCAATAATGTGTATGAGCTGAACATTCAACAGCAGAAACACTAAAGAGAAGGAACTCCAACTTACCAAGTGATTTGACTACTTGATCTGCACACTCTTTCGTGTACTTCTTCTCTTTCATTGGACACCGGATTGCAAAGTCAGTAACATAGTCCCACCACAACCAGGGCTTGCCACTTTCATTGGCAACCTTGTAAAAGCAAGCTTGGCGCAAATTTTGCAAAACAACATCCTTCCCATCATAACCTTTGCTGAAGTCTTGCTCAGGATCCGGAGCACAGTATCTTCCATGGTTGATGCACTGAGACTTGCATTGCTTGCTCAAAATAAATGCCTCAGGACAATACCACGTTATGTAATGGGGAGTGAACTGCGTATATCCCTTCTGCTCGAGTATCTGGGCGGCGCCTTTGAAGTTTTTGACAAACTCTCTCTGGCTCTCACACTTAGGGCCACACTCATCGTTACTGTTTGTCCAAAACTCGTACTCAACTCTTTCATCGGGATGTGGAAGCGCCTCTCGCCAATCAAGGTTTATGTTAACCATCTCCCCTTTAGACAGTTGCTTCTTAATGCTATCCCCAAGAGATTGACTAATTAGAGCTGAAGGAATAGTTATATTTTGCAGATAATTCGCCTGCGCGTCCTCTTCCTCGGGAGTGTCCATGGTAATCAAAGGTTCACTGCGATCATCGGCAACAAGAATAGCAGCAGCTCCAGCCTTTTGAGCATTCCAAGCCTTTAGTGTGAAATAGCAGTCTGCCGAGCAGCAGTATACACAGACCAAAAAAGGTAAAGGAGACACATATTAGATGCGTACATAGTTTAACAAGCTCTACGTTGGTCATCCACCACTAATTATCCAATCTTAAATGCTTGATAATGGAGGTGGAGAATTCATTCAGGTTGGAACGTTGAACATATACAACATAGATTAATAAGAAAATCCAGCTAAATACAAAACGCAAACATAGAAAAAATTCCTCATGTTCACCGGAAGAGCCAAATACAAGTGCATGCTTATTAGAAAGACTACAAAACAGCGCCCAACTTCAAAAGGTATCACCGATGTAGAAAAAAAGCTTCTTTTTCTTTTCTAGTTCTCTTTGATTGGTTTGGCTTTATAAGAATGCCGTTACTGCATTCTTGAAATATTTGAAGATTGATAACAGAGAGCAAAAACTTATTGAGGTATATTAACAGGCTAGAAAATCCAATATTAAGGAAATCTAAACTAGAGAATCCCTAATTGCCTCAAACGACAGTTCAGCATGGAAACGACAAGGGCCTGAAGAATTAACTTAAATAGCTGTCCACCCAACTGTTTAAACTAAAAATAGCCGGCAAATATATAATACATGTATAATTCATGTGTAACATGTGTATAATCGGTTGGCTAGAAAAAAGTAAACATTGAATCTGGCCAGCTATTTGTGTAAAGATCCCTACAGTAAAATGGATACAAAAGATGCATATAGCCCCCTGAGGCAAAGTTGATTGACATAAACAAGCCTGAAATCAGATTACATAAGTTATCAAGAAAAACAAAATCAAGATAATCTATATAATCCTAAGCGCCTAAATATATAAAATGCACCCATAGAGAGGCTGGTTCCGAAAGACTCTCGGCTTAAGAAAAATGCACCCAACAATAATCAGAAAAATAATTTCTGACAAGTGAATCAGTACCAAAAATATTAAAGTAAAAATTTCCAATTAGAAGGGGCAGAAAAGTCAGAAACTTTTACCTCCACGATCAACAAGAACAAAGACAGGCATGCTACCAGCCTTAGATTTAAATGAAATATCAGCACTTTCAAAGCTCTTACAAGACTTTTGATTAGCTTTAGGGTACACAACATTACCAACCAATGTTCCTCCATATTGTGGGACCCCAAAATTCCCAATTGCACACTCATACACATCTTTGATTGAGTCTGGTGAAGTTACTCTCAAGCTATTCTTTTCAACCACAAATCTACCATAACTACACCCAATTACAAGACACCAAACACACACTAAAAACCCTAGCTTTTTCTTCATCTTGGACGAAAATAACAATGACCCAGATGAACAAAAGTCAAAATTAACACCTAGAAACTGTCAAAATTAGATCTTTACAGCAAATTGAGAACACCCAAATCATGTATTTGGTGATCTAAGGAAAAAAAGAATCACCTTTATTGACCTAGGTAGAGAATTTATTGATAGAGTGGAGAAAATGGAAAAGAAGAAAACAAAAAAGAGTGGAAAAGTTCAGAATGAAACGTGTAAACTGTGTTGAAGAAAGGAAATGTTTATTCGAGTCCCGACACGAATTATCAGGTTGATAGCTTCATATTCTCTTCGCTGAGTTCTGGAATTTTTATTCTCTTTCTTTTTTTCGTTAATTTCCAGAAAGTTTTTTGGTTTGTACAAGAAAGGGCCGACTGATTCTAGTCGTTGAGTAGATCTAAATAGCTACTTTATTAATGTCCTAATCAAAGATTTGGACTTTTTCTTCTCAACTTTTTTATGATTATTATTGGAAAAATATGTACTCTATTACCCATTGCGTGTTATCTTTTTGTTTTAAGTAATGTGGTAAAGTCTAAGGAAATAAATGTAGTCATAAGGGATTGTTACTCATATCCAACATTTACTCTTTTTAGTTGGTATATATCCATTATACACAGTTATATATATATATATANTATTATTATGTATAATTTTTTGTATTAATGGTAAGATGAAAGTTTAAATTATATTAGTTCAGAATTTAAAAAGTTATCATTGTTTTTTTTAACTGACTAAGAAGATATTGTCACATAAATTGCATTTGATGGAATATTATATTATATTTATTTTTAAAAGTCTAATAATTTTTAATTATTCATAGTTTGTAATTAGTAACACTTCTACTTTCTAATTATATAATTTTTCTTTCAAGTATTTTAAAAAAGTTCTAAGACATTCAACTTTACAACAAGAATTAGATACTTTAACTTTGTTATTTTTGTGGGCTGAGGAATAGATTTGTACAACCTGAAAATAAAGGAAGAAAAAAGAAAATAAAAATAATAGGATATTCGTTACTTATGAATATTGTTTTGTCCTTAATAAATGGTTAAGAAGATGATGAGGTATGGCGGCTTTTATTGCCTTTTGGAGACCAATGACGAGTAGAACCTTATGAGGTGGCTCCTCCAATAGGCATCCTCGGGGTAGTCCACGTGTAATGTACAAAAAATATTCTGGTTCTAAGTTTCTAACTTTCTTTATATTCACTTTTAATCGTTTAATCATAGTTAATTAATATACTTTTTATATAATAATAGTTAATCATAATAAACTAATATAATTACGTGTAAATAATAACATAGATAATGTTCCATTACCGTAAAGTTAAAATATTAATTGAAACTTTGAAGCATGTTTGAATCGTGTGGCTTCTAAGAGATTTTAAGAATTTCATTTAGTAAAAAATTTAATATATCAAGAAAAAGGGATTAAGTCTTGTAATTTGTAACTAGAAAAATCATCTCATTAATAAGTGAGGGGCAGACCAAGTTCTCATTGATATTTTCAAATATCAAGAAAGAATTAATTTTTCTTTCAAAGTTACCCTTGGAATAAAGGACCTAAGAAGTATTTGTTCTATTTTTATTGAACAAATTAATGTTAATATGATTAATTACATTGTTAATTAATACTAAAAGGTGAATTTTTAAATATGTGTAAAAACAACCAAAAACCTTTTAAAGTGGATCAGAGGGAGTATTTATTTATTTATTGCTAATTATTATTCCTTCCGATCCATGATAAATGACTTTTTTGCCTTTTTATTTTGGTTCAAAATAAGTTTTTTTTACATAATCAAGAAGGAATTAATTTTATTTTTTAAAAATTTGTCCTTATTTACATATCTTAATGTTTCAAGATAATAGTTAATTAAAAATAATTTAATAAATATATTTTTTTCCTTACAAATTCATATTTTCTTAAGAAATATGCTAAAGATTAAAAAGTCATTTAATATGGACCGAAGGAATAATTTATTAATAGAGGATAGGAATAGGAATTATGCGTAGGTATTGCAACTGTATGGATAGCTATGTAGCATTCCAACATCACTTGCAAATGGTCAACTTGTCATAGCTTTGAGCTAAAATAAAAATAAAAAATGAAGAAAAGGAAAAGAGAATCTAGAGTGAAAAAATTATTGTATTCATAAAAAAATGTTTTGGTTCGACTGTTACCGAGAGAAATTCAAAAATAGCCACAGGTCAAAATTTAGTCATTTTTTATGTAAAGATAAATTTGAATGAAAACACTGTTCAAAATTCGGAAAAATACTCCAGTATAATATACTGGAGTTCCAGTATAATATACCGGTCCAATATAATATACTGGAGATTGGAGTAACGGTGCTCCAATCTCCAGTATATTATACTGGAACTTTTCGCGTGTTGGAGTTCCAGCATAATATGCTGGAAGTTCATACACATGTGCATCGATCTCCAGTATATTATACTGGAACTTTCCGTATTGCAGCAAAATAATGACTATTTTTCAATGACTTTGCAAACGCTGACTATTTTTGAATGACCAGTCCAAAAACTGGCTAGCTCGTGCTATTTTTACCTGTTATGCATTTCAACGTAAAAATTGCACGGGGTTAATCTATACCCATTTTTAAAAAAACTTTTAACTTGTACCCACTTTTTAAAAGATTTCAGCCCCCTTTCTCCTCCTCCTTCTCCCAGTGATCTCCATATCTCTACTGAACTTAATATTGATGTAACAATATCTCTCCTTCTGTGGCTTCATTCAATTCCTCGGAAGCCATCTTACTATACATAATTAAAATAATTGTAACGTAAGAAAACCTTTTTGTGAAATGAAAATTTTATAGACCGAGGTGATTCAAAATCTTTATTTTCAATTTGCTTCTTTAATGTTTGTCAAAAGAAAAGTCAATTGTGTTACCAAAATCTCAATTTAAAGTGTTGCAGCTCAAAAGAATCTAATCTTCTTGACATTTATGGAGCTAAAATATCCCCAACAGCTAACATAGTACTACTTAATGCTATTTAAAGTCATCAGATCTCAAACTCTCGCATGCAGAAAGATCATGTGGATGAAGGTTAGTTAATCAATGATTTTTTTGCAGTACTGGTCATGTATATATCCCTGCAGAAGCCAGAAGGTACGGGTTCCTCCCCCCAAAATAGAAACTTCAGCAGTACATACTCAAGGATTTTAAAAACTTCAGCTCTAGAGCTGAAGTTCGCCAGTTACAAACAAAAACTTCAGCTTTTCGACAGTTATAGAGCTGAATTTCGACAGTTATTAAAAACTTCAGCTCTAGAGCTGAAGTTCGCCAGTTACAAAACAAAAACTTCAGCTCTAGAGCTGAAGTTCGCCAGTTACAAAACAAAAACTTCAGTTCTAGAGCTGAACTTCAGGTCGGCTACTAGAATGCTGAAGTTTTGTGTGATTGTCTTTGCTACTTCAGTCCCGTATGCTGAAGTTATGCGAAAAAGCAAGTACGCTTGCAATTTTTTACAAAGCAGACACAAGTTAAAGCGTGATACAAAAAGCGGTATAGATACAAATGCCCCCATTTCACCACAGTGTACCTAATACCACCAAAACGCCGGTCTTGGATATCATTTTTTTTCTTTTTTTTCTTAAAACTTTTGAACGTGAGGTAGGCTCGTAAAAAGTGATGAAAAAAAAGTATAATCAGTACAAGATAGAATAGAAATTCATACTTAAGAGTTAAAAGTCTCAATTATTGAATATGTATTAAAATGACATTATTGAATATGTATTAAGAGATAGATCATCTTCATAATAAAAAGTTAAATAAATAAACTTAGAAAGTTGAAAGCTGCAAATTACGTTCCAAAAAAGAAATTTTATAGTCTGTTTGACCAAGCTTTTCCAAAGCCAAAAATACTTTTTTTTCTCTTCAAAATTGAAGTGTTTGGCCAAGCTTTTAGAAGAGAAAAAGTGTTTTTTGAGTAGAAGCAGAAGCAGATTTGGAAAAACAGAAAAAAATAGCTTCTCTTCAAAAATATTTTTGAGAAAAATACACTTAGAATCAGCTTTAAAAGCTTGGTCAAATATTAATTGTTGCTAAAAAGTGCTTTTCAAATTAATTAATCAAATACAAATTGCTCCTCACCAAAAGTACTTTCGAAAAAAATATTTTTAAGAAAAAATACTTCTCAAAATAAGCTGATTTTTGCCGTTTGCCGAACATGCTATTAAGCTAATAGAATTTTATCCCTTTGTCCGCCTCAGGTAAAAATTTAAATTTAAGCACTTTTTAGATTTTTAGGAGTTGATAATCTTAGTGCTTTTTCCCAACCAATGTCGTGAAACGTGACCTCCTTCCCTTTATTATTTTATATTTTATATTTGGAAGAGAATTTAAAAGGTGCGAGTAATGTCGATTGAGATGATTTAACCACCTGTTATGTAAGCCTTCACATGCATTAATTTTTAGATGTAAACTTGTGCTGATTGGAGGTGTTGAAAGAGAAAGAGAAAGAGAGACAAAAAATCAATAGAGAAAAAGTTATTTCAAAAAATTTAGAATCTCAGAATCCAGGCATATCTAACAAAAGTGAAAAAATAATGAACCGTATGAATGATACTACTAAACAGAAGACTAGTGATTACGAAAAGACTCTTAATATACTATTACGTAACCCTATTGTTAGATTATTAAGTACAGAGTATTGAAATATTATGGACCCATATATGCCATTTGTGATATTGAAGATTTATACACCAATTTTAGTATAACTTTGTACCACTTCATGTTCTAACTAATCCGAGAATCAAAATATGGTTCTTTTGGACTCAAACATTAAAATGTGGGGAAAAAAAGACAGCGATCAAAATATATATAACACCCTTTTTATGGGTAGGTGGTGCAACTGTATGGATAACTACTTCTAAAACGCGTAGCATTCCAACGCCACGTGCAAATGGTCAACTTGGCAGTGCTTTGAGCTTTTAAAAAAAGAAATGAAGAAATAGAAAAGAAAAAAACAAAAGAAAGAGAATCCAGTCAAAAGTATAAAAAAAAAAGTACGCTAAAGGATCAAAATTGTCTCACCATTATTCGATTATTCGATTAAGTATAAAAATGACCTCCATCCACCTATTGAACCAAAAATACTCTCACCATTATTTAGTGGCTCAATTATGCCCTTGTTACTAACAGACTTATCTAAAAGTAATCGAAAAAGTTAATGAATATCCATGTGTTACCGTTCCTTTGTATGGGTCAAAATTTGACTAAAGGAAATTCGGCCAGAAGAGGTGACCAAGTGTGAGAACTATAGTTCATCATAGGCGACTAGGTCGAGGTCAACCATGGATTGACAATGCTGAGCCGCCGAGTAAGCCATTAGGGCCGAGGTCGAGCAAATAGGAAGAG